TGTAAGCACGGAAGGGGAAAAAGAACATTTGTCAACCGGAATCTGATGGCTCCTGTTCTTCTCATAAGTGAACTGTATGGCAGTCTGTTGTCGAAATACATTACACCAGCAACGAAGCCCTCAAAAAGCTAAGCCAGTCTCATCCGTGAAAATCACTTTTCGTTGGGGTCGATTTTCAAGCCTACATCCACGGCAGGGTACAGGAGCGGGCCGAGTGAAATGGCGATGTCTGTACGCCTCTCGAAGGTTCCCCTAGCAGCACGATTTGTTCCAACTCTCCACCAATTTTCCTAAAATGTTACCAGTTTTGCCCAAGAAACTACCATCAAGGGAAAATATAAAGCGCGAGAAACGGGAGAAATCAACCACCGGAAACTTGTCCCTGCAGCTTATAAAAACTTTTATCACGGCTGGATACTTCACCCCTCCCAAGTGCGGCTCCCTCGATGGGATTCTCCCAGTGATACCCTGGTGCATACGCCTCACGATCTCTACTGACCAGAAAGGAAAAGCCAGAAGGGACCCGAGATTTTTCCTCACTACAAGGCCTACCTATAGAGCCACTGAATACAAAAATTTCTTGAAAACTATAGAATAGGCTGTTGAAATAGTGTCGGAAGACGAAAACCTCTGCAGTTCGCTGCGATCATTCCCATAGAAACACCGGCTACCTGGCTGGGTAATATAATGGTAGAGAAAGAAGACTGAGTGGAACGCAGAACTGGAAAAAAGTCAACATTCTATTGCAGGAGGTTGAGACTGTTCAAATTTGTTTTGTTCTTGTACATGTGCCACGAGGTACTCAGGTGGACACTTCGTTCGATAGCGCTTCGAGCCTTCTGTCCTTTTCAAAGGTCAAAATTTGGCCCTCTGCTTTAAACTGTCTATCCCATAGGATGCCATGTTCCCTCTAGCATTTCCAACGTATTCACGGGAGCATGCAGAAATTCCTCAAATGTCAAAAGACAAGCTGAACTTGTGCTCTATGTACCACTAACGTATAGCGCAGGAACGCCCTCAGTTAGTACATTAGTAAGTAAGTAGTATTCCTGTACCTAAGGGGGCAGTGCACAATTCAAAGCCTCGAGCCACTAAGGCCTTTGAATACGACAAAAGGGTTCGGCGGAAAGAAGTGCACGAAACAGCCTCCATGCAGAATTAAGACAAAGAAGAATACCGAACAATGCCGAGGTTTCGAGGATGTTCAAATGTAATTCGAGAATGAATTTATGAAACGAGATGAGAATGACCGTTCAGGAGCCCAGCCAACTGCATCCACTTGTGTGAAGCAGGAACACCGTCCTGTTCCTAGACATACCATAGAAGACAAGTTCGTGTTCTGTTAAGGGCGAAGTGGGGGGTGGCGGGGGCGGAGGGATGGCAATTCGTTCATGTAGCCTACCACTAAATTTTATTTTGCTCTAAGTGACGGGCAAATGGGTACTTTGGACGGCACCATTCAACGGCTCACTTTGGCGACGGGGGGGGCATTTCACACTGTTGCTACTTCTCGACCCATCTAGACAGCCTTTTAGTGAGTTGACAGGTTTCACCATTGTGGCTCGATGAGCTTGCTCCAGCTTCACAGGAGTTCACAGGTTTCATCAGGTAAAGTATGCAAACCGGAACTAGTGGAGCAATGAAAGTGCATAATGCCCCTCCGTCGCCGAACTGCGCCCCATAGTACGTACATACAGCCGTATCTACCGTAGCAGTTATTGGCAAAATGCCAATGGGAAACTTGTCCGAAAGTGCTTCTTGGGTCGTGTAGAACAAAGGTTTTTTGCAGGTTTTTGACCGTTTCACTTCGCTTTCGCCGCTTTCCCACTATTTAGCGCCCTGCTACCATTTTAGACAAAGTACCAAAATATCGTGCCAACTGCCTTTAAGCAGCAATCGCAGCCAAGAAGTGGCTCAAGGATTGTACTTCAATGTATGGTAGTAGTGTAGGTAGTGGTAGCACTTTCGCAGTGATGACATGATCAAAACATATGAACCCTAGAAGCACGGAAACAAAGCGGAACAAACCGGTGGCCGACTTCAGAAACACTCAACGTTACCAAAGAAACCACCGATAGAGATAAGCTGCAACTAGCAATCAAAAAAGATGGCTGAACAGACCAAGCGAAACCAGCTTAACATCAGAAAGCAAGAACAACATAATCAGACAAAGTGTGACTGCAGCCGAATTGCCTTCGCCTTTGCCCGTGACTAGAACAATCACTTTATCATAAACGAAAACATTGGGCCGCAAGCTGCACCCACACTTGGCGGACACAGACAATTACTACCGTAAGCAGCTGATTACATGTTTGCCAAGTACCGAAACCCCCGAACACAGCTAGTTACAGAGCGTGGTGTCACGAGATCCGGTACTATGAAAGAGGGTTCGACATTGGAAACCCCATATCGCGATCAATTACCATAGAATTCGAGAGGAAACTGGGGTAGCTCTAGGTGTCGAACCCATAAAAACTAGCGAAAAGTTAGAAAAAGGAAGAATCATCACCTTTGTGAAGGGCACAGCCTAGAGCAAAGCGGGCCTTGGTGTGCTGCCCCATAAGGACACCTGCCATTGAGGAAAAAAAGTTGCAGAACGCGACGCCCCCTCCCCCTCGAAGTTTCCTCATGTAGGACACATGCTTTCTCATCCCCCATCATACCTACCATCTCGCTAACTTCTCCCGACTTGCTACTACTACTTTTCGGGAGTTTCTTCCAGAAATCATCTACTTACCTAAAAAATGTGATGGACGGCGAAAGGAGGGATAAGGGCGGTATATAGCGCATAGAGCGCACCTGAAACAGGAAAAAAAGCGAAAAGTCGAGAATATTCCTCTTCAAGACACATACGACCTCTCTCCCTCAGCGACTAAATACGACCCCCGTCGCGCTCGATCCCCAACATACGAAGTGCCTTGTGCATCACGCGGCCACCTGGAGTCTAATCTTTCCGCTAGATGTCTCAGACGTTCCCTTGTGCTCCAAGGCTGTGAAAGTATAGTTAAAGGCAGTTGACACGATGAATCTTAATACGAGTAGGATTGATACGCCTGGCAGGAAGGAGTTCTGCCCTGAGCAGGCGCTGCGCCTTTCCTAAGGAAGGACTCTTATACGGCCCTATCAAGCTGCAACATGCCGACCCGGACGCCCACCGTGCTCGCCCACAAATGGACGGCCGTACTAATGCTCCTATTGCTTCATGATAT